AGTACGTTTATGATTGCTTTTAATTCTTCTTCAGCCAAACAGACTTTACTTTTAAGTGTAAATGCAGAGTAAAGATGGAGGCTATGAGATGACCGTGTCCTGGATCTCTCCTCTCAGGACTTTGTCATCTACCTGCTGGCCGCCCCGAACATTGTCGTGGGTCAGAAGAACCGGACCGGTGAGGGCGGTGAGGAGGCCGACGTCCTCCTCTCGGCCGCTGACCTCCTCCCGAGGCACTGCTCCTTCCACCGGCCGGCGGCGGGGGCCCCCGTCCTGCTCTGCCCCTGGGAGGGGGCCGCCGTCACCCGGAACGGTCAGCTCCTGAAGACCAGCGTCCAGCTGGCCCCCGGAGACGTCATCGGCCTGGGACAGCACTACCTGTTCCTGTTCAAGGATCCCTCCGCACTCACCCACAAGGTGAGTTAAGATGGAGGACTTCCATTAGGGGGGGGCACGCTGGGGTGGTGGTTAGGATCATTGCCTCCCAGCAAGAAGGTTCTGGGTTGGAGACCCGGGGGAACCAAGACCAGAGGGTTCTTGGTTGGGGTCCCTGGGGAACCAGGACCAGAGGGTTCTGGGTTGGAGTCCCGGGGGAACCAGGACCAGAGGGTTCTGGGTTGGAGTCCCCGGGGGAACCAGGACCAGAGGGTTCTGGGTTTGGAGTCCCGGGGGAACCAGGACCAGAGGGTTCTGGGTTTGGAGTCCCGGGGGAACCAGGACCAGAGGGTTCTGGGTTGGAGTCCCGGGGGAACCAGGACCAGAAGGTTTTGGGTTGGAGTCTCCGGGGGGGACCAGGACCAGAGGGTTCTGGGTTGGAGTCCCGGGGGAACCAGGACCAGAGGGTTCTGGGTTGGAGTCCCGGGGGAACCAGGACCTTTCTGGGTGGAGTCTGCATGTTCTCCTGTGTCTGTGGGTTCTCTCCGGGTTCTCCGGCTTCCTCCCACCGTCCAAAAACCTGCATGTTAGGTTGGTTGGACTCCAAACTGCCCTTAGTGTGAGTGTGTGTGGTTGTTGGTCCTTGTGTGTCTCTGTGTGTCCCTGTGATGGACTGGGGACCGTCCAGGGTGACCCCACCTCTTGCCCGTTGACCACTGGGATAGGCTCCAGTTCTGCCCGCGACCCCATTAGGGAATGAATGGATGATTGGATGGATAGATGGATGGATGGATGGATGGATGGATGGATGGATGGATGGATGGATGGATGGATGGATGGATGGATGGATGGATGGATGGATGGACTTTTCCATTAGAAAGCGGAACAGATCGTATTTAAATGCCCGTGTGAGCTTCATGCCGGGTCTTTCTCCTGGAAACGCAGGACGTGGGCGGCGTGGCCCCCGGGCCCGGCCCCTGGACCCTGGGCGACGGCGTCACCATGGCGACGGCGAGCCTGGCCGCGGACGCGCTGCTCTGCGACAGCTGCGTCTCGAACCGCCACAGCCATTGGGAGGGCCAGAGACGCGGGGCCCCCCCGGCTCTCACGTCCCCCGAGGGCCGGCCCCTGACCCTGGACTTCGCGGCTGAGGACGGCGGCCGGGTGGTCAGGGAGGCGGTCGCCATGGGCGGCGGCGGCGGCGGGCCGGCGCTGACCGCAGCCGTCCTGCTGTGCGCCTGCGTCCAGCACGCCGCCGCCCACCACCACACCCCCGAGCTGCGCCGCCTGCTGCTGCAGGTCGCCGGGGGGGTCCAGAGCGCCGTGTGGGTGAGTCGGGGTCACCCGGGGTGACCTGGGGTCACCAGCTCACAACAACCTCCATGTCCCACATTCAAACGTTTCACTTCTGAATCTTGACCAGTGGGCAGATAATAGGAAAACCCTTCCAGACTGGGGTCAGACTCATCAAACGCTTCTGTTTGCATCACAACAGGGAAATCGATTGTTCCCCAGTCAGGAAACCCCCTCGAGTTTGTCCTCAAAGGAAGAGTTTTTCCTTCCCTGTGTCGCCTAGTGCTGCTCTTGGTGGGACTTGTTGGGCTTCTGTAAATAACTCAGAGTCCAGTCTGACCTGCTCTGTTTAGAAAGCTGGGAGATAACTTTTGTTAACTTGGAGCTACTGTATATAAATAAAAAAGAATTGAATTTATTTGAATTAAAGTTTTTCTTTAATGTCCAAAACTTATCTTACTTCCTTTTGACAGTGGTCATTTTTCGAAAGATTTCTTATCCTGAAAGTACACTACCAATTCCTATAGTCATGAACAAAGGACAGTAGAGAAGTTCATGATGTCCTAACTGGGGGAACGCAATCGTGACGATGGTGAGGCAGGACAAAATGTTTTTCTGGACTAAAATGTAATGTTGAGATCATTTACAACTTTTTATTTTAATGCTGGTGTACACAATCCCCCACCCAGAGATGTACAAGCCCAGAGCCCGTTTTTACTCAAAGGAAAATGACAGCCGTCTGCAGAAACCAGTCAAAGGAACCGCTGCTGTTAAAGGGAAAGTTGGTCTGAGTGAAACTTTGAGCAGCTGTGATGCGTTAAACTGCATCCTCTCTTTCAGGAGCACACTAAGAACCTGGCCGCCGCGCAGCCTGAAGTGTAAGCGCCCCCCCACACTGCCTCTTTCCCCACTAGAACCCTTTATTTTCTCAGAGAGCGCCGTTTGCTCATGGACTTGTTTTTCTGCCGTTCCTCAGGCTCAGCGGGGAAGTCTCAGTCCCCGAGGAGCTCCAGGTGCTCAGTCTGCAGGAGCTGATGTCCGGGCTGCACCCCCTGGTGGTGTGGATGTCAAACAGCCTGGAGATGCTGCAGTTCATTCAGCACCAGCTCCCCGTCGTCCTGGAGTGGAGGCACCGGGCGGAGCGGGGGCGGGAAGAGGAGTGGGCAGATAGCGACAGCAAGGAGATGGAGAACCTGGGTTGGTAGTTTTGGTCGTATGCCGCTCATGTGACCCTTAAAGGGCGGTCAGCAGCACCCGCAGAGGCAAACATCTGGAAACTGGGCTGCAAACAGGGCTAACATTTAGTAAAATTAAAAATTCATGTTTTATGTGATAACGTTATTTCTAGATGATCGGAGGTAATATATATATATTTCTGACCACATGTAAAATAAGAAAGTTTTTGTACAAACAATAACCTATGATAATAATAACCAATGATAATCTTAGCATAATCTTAGCAAAAGTATATGTATATATATATATATATATACTTTTGCTAAGATTATCATTGGTTATTATTATCCTATATATATATATACATATAAACATATAAACTGTACATATACACATACATATATAAAATTTTGTTATGATTATCATGTTTTTTTGTTTGTTTTTTAATGTATTAATATTTTTTACACATACAGGGTGATATGTATAGATATAGATTTGGAAAATGCATAAATATATATACAACCTTCCCGTGCAACATACCAACTCATTTCTTAGTTCAGGCTTAAAGTAATTCGGCGTATTTGAATGTGCTAACAGTGAATTGTGAACGGTTCTGCAGTGCTGCTGGAGCTGTGTCTGTCCTCCGTGCGCTCGGCCAGTGAGGAAACCATGGCCGTCCTGGAGGAGGTCATCATGCTGGCCTTCCAGCAGTGTGTCTACTACATTACCAAGGTAACACATCGCTCAATCTGGCTTCTTTATGTGAAATTGTGTGGTGATAATTCAGGCTTTGTACAGGAATCTAAACATCTACTTTACCTTAAAATGAAAGATCAGAAAATATAGGTCAGTCTAAATCTGTAACAGATTCATCTGATTCGCTCACTGATGATTAAGATGTGCAGCTTAAGAAAGGATGAGCTGGACGGAGAAGAAAGAGTCTAGTTAGGAGCTCTGAGAGCTTCGAGCCACAGATCCAGACCACACTGGGGGCATTGTGACGGGACACCGAGGGCCTTTGTGTGTCTGTGTGTAAGTGTCGGGGAAGGCTGAAAACCATTCAGGCCGGGGAAACTTTGCATCGCAGCCTCTTTTATTTTTAGCTGATCAGTCGAAAAGAAGAAACTGGTCTCTGTTTTTTAGGAGATGGCACAACTTCCTGAGGTCTTAATGAAACATTTGTGATGTCACAGAGAGAAAGTAACACTCCAAATAAAAAAAAACATGACATTTTTGGCTGTTTTTGGCCGTTTTACTCCACTTTGCAGACTGGCCAGTAGCTCGAAAATATTTGATTATTCTTGATGAAAAATACAACCTCATGATATTGTAAATAGCCAGTAGGGTCAATCCAACATGCATTAGCATTTAACTCAGCTTAGATCTTTCAAACACAAATATTCACGGGGAGAACACAGAAATATAGAAAGGCGCCAGTCCCCCAGGGACTCTAACCAAGAATCCTTTCTGTTAGGCGACTGGCTAACCATCTAAAAATCAAATCAAAGTACCACCTTTACTGTGTCCATTTCATATTTTTCAGTATGTCTTGAGAAAGAGAAATTTGACTGATTGCAATGCTGATAGTTTATATCCTAATTGGCGACAAAATTCAGGTAAAAGAAGTCATTTCCAGTTGCAAGGCTACTGAAATTCAGCATTCTAGCTAGGCTTTTATCTGTTCCTTAGCTTCAAACTTAGCATACTTGGCTAACGTGAGAGTGAGCTCAAGCCCGCCTTAAGAAAAATTAAAGAGACACGTTTTTACTGCGTTTCTTTTTACTGGGTTTGTGTTGTCTCTTGTTCTCTCGGTAATTCTTGTGGAAGAAAAATAACAATATTTCATTGTGGCCGCAGTATTGGGTTATGTGCATTTCCACTGACGGCACCACACCCATGGATGTGCGCCCAGAAAACTTTCAGACGACTTTTCCAGTGGATCTGCGGGGGCGAGCGTCTAAAGGCTTTCCAGACCGTGCTGTGGAACAGTTTGGTCTCGTTCTGGCCTCGTGACTCCTCGGCCATCAGTCGCTGAACGATAGATATTAGCCGATGAAGGCGGATGTGCTCTCTGGACCAGCCCAGGTCTGGTGCGGTTCCATTGGGAACTCCTGGGGGTTTGGTGCTGATGCAGTGTTCTCTGTAGCGTACGGTTCCCATGCAGAAAGGAGCTAAGCTCCCACAACCTCCAAAGAGGAAACTATAGGAGTTCCTAAAGAGCGGCTCTGTTAGTCTGAGGCAGCACATTTTTGCTGAGCTCGGGGGGATGTGGTTATCTAACTACCTGCTCTCGTGTAGCATTCTCTTCTCTCAGCAAGTCAGCCCCGCCACCCAAATGGCTTCCAGATGTGGTTTGTCAGTAAATCCATAAATAATCAGGAAATGTAAGGTTTATGATTGCTGCTAAACTTACTGGATGCCGGGTTCATTCAGCTGTCTTAGCTTACCTTTTAAGACCCGTTTTCCCGTGTCCCCCGAACCATTTCCATAATCAAATCATCACAGTGGCTCAGCACTAAATGTCCTCAGCTCCTCCAAGTTGGCTGCAGAAGAAAGGAGACGGTGCTGTTCTGTTATTCTTTGGACTGGCTGCCTTTAGTTTGAATTCCTCCGACACACCCTTAACTTTTCTCCGTGCCAGTGGCTAATCCACATGAGTCGTAGCATCCTCCAAGACTGTCGCTCCACGAAAAAGCTCAGATCCATGAGGAATATATCATAATCTTTTTACTGTACAGAGAATTTCTGGCCCATTCGAGTAGTTCATATGATTTAGAGATCACTTACAGTGTTATGTTTTTAAGAAAACATTTTTTTCCCTCTTCCTTCCTCACTTCACCATCAAGTCAGACATTTAGAAAAATGTTATTCCATCTCCACACGTCTGAATCATGTCAGAAACTTCAGGCTTTCTCGTCTGAACGAAAGGCCTCGCTGGTGAGAAGCCAGTGATTTTAAATAGGGCATTTTAACCCTGTAATGCCAAATGTATCATATTTGATTCATACGGTTTCTGAAATCTTTTCCATAATGTAATGGTAAAAATCCTATTGTACACAATCAGATATACCTAATAACAGGGGGCAGAAGACTACACATAAAAATAATCTTGACTTATCGCATAATGATAAATTCTTAATATTAAAAATGTATTTATGTTTTTTCTTTTTACATATTTTGTTAAAAGGCCAAATAAGGAATTCAAACCCCAAAAAAAGCAATTTTCTGTTTTGTTTTATTCTTGGATCAGGCTTTAAAGGGTTAACAGGCCGACTGCTTCCTGTCACATAATGGCAGTTTTTCTCCATGAAAAAACAAAGCAGAAAACAAACTAACTCTGGACCTTTGCCATGGATGTGCTTCTCCCAGTGTCCATTTGTCGGCCTCCACTGTGTGATGGCGGCCCGTGGAGGCCTGCTGGTGGTGCCCGCCCCTGCCCGGGTCTGCCGGGGCCGTCCAGTGTAAGCGATCTGCCCGGGACGGATTCCTCCGCTGCTCTTCACTCAGCACTTCTAGCTGCTGCGCCATGCCAAGCCCACACTCCCAGCCATGTTCTGCTGGGCTTTTTTTCTCTTTTCAGGAATGCTGATCTATGGCTGGCACTGGCCTGGGATACTTTGTGGGTGTGAGGGTGAGATCGGAGGGGAAGGGGGGGGGGGGGGGGTTTCTGTGTACAATTAGCCTGAACAAAGCTGTGGTTGTCCGGGGCCCTTTTTTCTCCCTCTGACGACCAGCGAAGAACCTCGGGATGAAAAAAGAGCTGGAAATGTGAGCGGCTCTGTCTCACCGGCTGTGAGGAAGACGCCCGGCGGCTCATAAATCAGCCGTGGCGCTGCCTGAGTGACAGGGGGTCCGGGTGGTCTGACATCTGAGTCCGGGGGTTCCGTGTTTCTGGTTTTATCCCTGTGATCTGATGCTCGCCGCACAGTGTTGACTTTTCCGACCTCAAATCAACCCGCAGGAATGGCCGACGTTCTCCAGCTCTGGTGCGCTTTCTTTATCTTCCCCCAGTTCCTCTACCCGGTCCTGCCGGGCCTTCTGGACTGCGACCCGTTCAGGGAGAGCGACGGGGCGCCCGGCGGCGGCGGCGGCGGCGAGCTGCGGGTGCCCGGGGAGATCCGGCAGGTGGTGGAGGTCCTGGACGAGAGCTGGACGCTGCTGTCCGACTGTCAGGTCCACCCGGAGATCTCCGCCCAGCTCCTGGGATACCTCTTCTACTTCATCAACGCCTCGCTCTTCAACTCCCTCATGGAGAGAGGTACCGCCATCACAGCCCACAGCAGCCAATAGGAACACCCAATCATCCATCCATCCATCCATCCATCATCACAACCTCTAATTCCCTAATGGGGTCAGGGGGGACTGGAGCCTATCCCAGTAGCCAATGGGGAGAGGGTCCCAGGGTCCCCCTTGATGGTCCCCAGTCCATCACAGGGACACACAGAGACACACAAGGACCAACAACCACACACACTCACGCTAAGGGCAGTTTGGAGTCCAGCCAACCTAACATACAGGTTTTTGGACGGTGGGAGGAAGCCGGAGAACCCGGAGAGAACCCACAGACACAGGAGAACATGCAGACTCCACCCAGAAAGGTCCTGGTTCCCCCGGGACTCCAACCCAGAACCCTCTGGTCCTGGT